CCCAGTACCGGACCAATATTGTTTTTAATTCACTTATATATCTAATTTATTAACTGCGTACAGCTAGTATTTGTTTAAGTTGTTTGTACCTAGTTTGTCAATGTCCTTTGTTTGTTTAGTCCCACCTTATTGTTTAATTGTTTTTAAACCTGTGTACGCAATTCAGCGGTTTAAACGACTGCCATGTACAAGGATTGTTGTCAATAAACTATTATATATATATATATATCAAAGTATTTGCAGACGGCACCTGGGCAAGCGCGCGGGGCCGTCTAGATCCATTTACCGTGCCGTCACGGGAGGTCATACCGTCGGCACGCCCAAGCAGGCGCGTGGGGCTTTGTCAATACCTTTCCCGCGGTACAGTTACAAGAGGTCTCGATCGCCGTAGGCACGCCCAGGCTGGCCCGTGCACGATGGGCCGTCTAAATTCTTTTACCGTGCAGTCACGGGATCGGAGGTCATGCCGTCGGCACGCCCAGGCAGGCACGCGGGGCCGTGTCGATACCCTTCCCGTACAGTTATAAGTGATCTCACCGTCGGCAGTCCCAAGCTAGCGTGTGGGGCCGTGTAGATCCCTTTACCGTACAGTCACGAGGGCCATTGGTCATGCCGGTCGGACTGGAGCATAGGGACCGTGTCGGGCTGTTCACCGTGCAGTCAAAAGGGGCCCATGTTTGACCCATACGATACCCACTTTACGTAGCTTAATATAAGCTTAAATATTCATTTTTAAGCTAACGTTACGCACACTTAAATGCATCTTATCTAAAACAATTTAAGGTAACTTCCAAAGTCATACTTATAGGTCTTTATGTTTTAAACGTAGTCAAGTATACATGTGAATGGAGGTGGAGTACACTGCTGCAAATCAGTGCTTTATCTTTACTGCAACATTAAGCGACCTTAAAGATCAGGTAAGGATACGTTTATGTTTAAGTAGACTTTACGTTGTTCCTTCAGAGAGTGTAAAGATTGCCTGCCGATTGTGGCATTTACGATGGCTTAAGTGTGACTTAAATAATGCTTAATTATTTTGAAATATTTAAGCCTTATTTACGAACACCATTAAGCATGCTTAAATATCGTTTTTCGTGCAGTGTCTTCTGTGACGGGCGGGGGCTCACAGACGTTCCCGCCAACATACCATCGGATACAACTCATCTTTTTCTGAGTTACAACACCATACAGAGTCTGTCTCATGCGGATTTCTCAAATCTGACCAGTTTGGAACGCCTTTACCTGTACAACAATAACATCTCGAGTCTCCCCGCTGGAGTTTTCTCACATCTCACCCGTCTGTTGGAGCTGGATCTATCTGATAATCATATAGCTGATCTCCCGGATGGAGTATTCTCAAATCTGACCAGTTTGATAAGACTTTCCTTGTCCAACAATAACATCTCGAGTCTCCCCGCTGGAGTTTTCTCACATCTCACCCGTCTGAGGTGGCTGCCTCTATTCAATAATCATATAACTGATCTCCCGGATGGAGTATTCTCAATTCTGACCAGTTTGGAATATCTTGACCTGTCCAACAATAAGATCTCGAGTCTCCCCGCTGGAGTTTTCTCACATCTCACCCGTCTGGAGCGGCTGGATTTATCTGATAACCATATAGCTGATCTCCCGGATGGAGTATTCTCAAATCTGACCATTTTGGAACGCCTTTACCTGACCAACAATAACATCTCGAGTCTTCCTGCAGACATCAAACACCTTTCTACCCTGACATCCCTTGACATAACAGGGAATCCCTGGAGGTGTGACTGTAGTTTACATGATATAATGACTTCGCAACGTGTGCGCGGTTCAATTGGCGATAACTCTACCTGCAGCTCCCCTCCCCACATGAAAGACGACGCGCTGACCGACGTTGTGTCAGGCAGGATTTGTAACGGTCGCGGGGTCTGCCCCACGGGAAGTACAGAGGGCACTTGTGCTTGTGACGTCGGCTGGACTGGCCCATACTGTGGCGAAGGTGAGATGTCTGTGTACATTCTTTATATGCGGATTTAACAAGGCATAAACTCATGAAAGAAAACACCAACTATTTTATGTTCATCGAATGAGGCCAGGTTGGAACAAGGAGGTTTAATTTTAGAAATCAAATTTCTTTGATGGAAAAGTATTAAAAAGTGAAAGCGTTCGAAATTCA